CACTTAAGAACTTTTTAAAATGTATAAATAAAGTGCTATCTTATGCCAAATCATCCCATGGATGATCAGTCTTGTTTATGATCGTGATGAAATTCACTTTTCCAGGTCTCTGCTCTCTTTCTTCAAGATTACTGGAAGGAAGAATGGAGAAGAGCATAGTGCACAGCTGGTGTATGAAATGGCTCTTCCTGGCATGAGAATCCAGGGCCCTTCCAGGACAGGGGAGATGTGCAGGGGAGGCAACAAAGGGCTTCCCGGATTCTGGGAGGCCCACCTGCCTTGCTGTTTGCCAGTCTATCCAGCAAGCAAGGCTAGGTCAAGAAACGGACATCACCAGGATTCCAGGAATGTTATTTTATTTTGGAGGCTCCCTTTAGAGAATGTTGAAAGCCCCCCAATCCCTTCAAGGCCCCTTTGGAAGGACAACAAAGTCAGTATTGAGCTGTTCAGAATGTCGTTCTCACACTTTCTACTTTCCCCCAGGGCTAAGTAACAGGTTCATCTTCTCCACCTCTTGCTCAAGGCCAGACAGAGCTTAATTCCTTTGCACGGCATCAGAGGAGATCTGATGTTGTCCGAGAACCTCCAGATCTTCTTGTATACAACTGCTAGATGAACAGAGTCCTTTTCACATATGCAGAGCCTCCATACACCTAAATGTTGAGTTTACAGTCTGCCTTTCAGCTGACCTTACACATTCAGTCAGATGTGACTATAATTTATTTTGCTCCAGTTGTTTCTGAGTTTTTGTGCCTCTAAAGCTGTAAGTCTGAACATACACGTTCTTGTGTTATACGTGGCCAAAAGATCTCCAATATTATGGAAGCAGAACCTGAGAGAATTCCACGTTGTCTTCAGTCAAAGGGAGAGGAATCCTGGGTCAAAAGAACCTGGAATTTCTACCTTCCAAAATGGAGTTGGGTGATCTGTTTTCTCTGGCTCTTTCTGTGCACTCTTTTCTGCGGGACCTGTTCTTCTTTTGGTTGTCGGTCTTTCCTTCCTTTGGGTTGGGGGCT